CCCGGCAAATCATTTTTTTTCTTTTCTTTCTTCTTTCTTTCTTTCTTTCTTTCTTTCTTTCTTTCTTTCTTTCTTTCTTTCTTTCTTTCTCTCTCTCTCTCTCTCTCTCTCTCTCTCTCTCTCTCTCTCTCTTTCTTTCTTTCTTTCTCCCTTTCCTTTTCTTTCTTTTTTTTTTTTTTTGGGTTTTTCAAGACAGGGTTTCTCTGTGTAGCTTTGTGCCTTTCCTGGAACTCAATCGGTAGCCCAAGCTGGCCTCAAACTCACAGAGATCTGCCTGGCTATTGCTAATAGCCTTTGGTTGAACACTGCTTGGTTAGGGAAAGAATGCATTACCTTTCAGGTCTGTAGACACTAAGCTGCCCAGAACTTTTCATACACTTAATCAGTTCATAATGTTGAATAGTGCTGATTTGAATATGTATTTCTTTATCAGAACCAAAGGTTGAATGAAGGTCACATGAATCATAAAATGAAGACAGGAATGTAAAAATTTAAATCAGTGAGCATTTGGCTGTAGTGTTTTAATTATATTTTAAATGTATTTGCTTGATGAAATCAGGGCTGTCATGTATTTTCTTTAATCATTTCTATGATTAAAATATTATGAATTGAACATATAATGCTTATTTTCAACTCTTTCTCCACTTTAGAAAACAGATAAATACAGCAGCTATCCTGTATACCATACCATCTATGAGATGTTTGAATTAGTAGAGAACTTTTATGACCCTACATTTAAAAGACAGCTCTCTGTGGCTCAGTTTCGAGGAGCATTGGTGTATGAGCTTGCAGACTCGGTTATCATTCCTTTCAACATTCAAGACTATGCAAAAGCCTTGAAAACCTATGCAGCAAATATCTTCAGTTTATCAAAGAAACATGAACAGCAACTGAGAAACTATAGAGTGTCATTTGGTAAGATATTTTGTAGACTTTAATATAAACTTTCTTAGTTCCCATCATAGAAGAAATCCTACTAATTTACTTATTCTTTCTGACAAAAACTTTAAACAAATACTGATTTAGGGGTCTGATTTAATCTGAAATGTCTATGATGAATCCATTACTTATGAAGTAGTGCTACAAACATTAAATTGGGTATATAGTTTCTTACATTACTACTCTTATTAATATTCCCCAAATATTCAAAATTATAGTCCCAAATT